TACAGAATAACACCCAGTGCTCATCCCGTCAAGTGTCCCCCTCAGTGCCTGTCACCCATTCACCCCCACCCCCAGCCCTCCCCCCCTTCCACCACCCCCAGTTCGTTTCCCAGAGTTAGGAGTCTCTATGTTTTGTCTCCCTTTCTGATATTTCCCACACACTTCTCCCTTCCCTTATATTCCCTTTCACTATTATTCATATTCCCCAAATGAATGAGAACATACACTGTTTGTCCTTCTCCGATTGACTTACTTCACTCAGCATAATACCCTCCAGTTCCATCCACGTTGAAGCAAATGGTGGGTATTTGTCCTTTCTAATGGCTGAGTAATATTCCATTGTATACATAAACCACATCTTCTTTATCCATTCATCTTTCGATGGACACCGAGGCTCCTTCCACAGTTTGGCTACTGTGGACATGGCTGCTATAAACATCGGGGTGCAGGTGTCCCGGCATTTCATTGCATCTGAATCTTTGGGGTAAATCCCTAACAGTGCAATTGCTGGGTCGTAGGGCAGGTCCATTTTTAACTCTTTGAGGAACCTCCACACAGTTTTCCAGAGTGGCTGCACCAGTTCACATTCCCACCAACAGTGTAAGAGTGTTCCCTTTTCTCCGCATCCTCTCCAACATTTGTTGTTTCCTGCCTTGTTAATTTTCCCCATTCTCACTGGTGTGAGGTGGTATCTCATTGTGGTTTTGATTTGTATTTCCCTGATGGCAAGTGATGCAGAGCATTTTCTCATGTGCGTGTTGGCCATGTCTATGTCTTCCTCTGTGAGATTTCTCTTCATGTCTCTTGCCCATTTCATGATTGGATTGTTTGTTTCTTTGGTGTTGAGTTTAATAAGTTCTTTATAGATTTTGGAAACTAGCCCTTTATCTGATATGTTATTTGCAAATATCTTCTCCCATTCTGTAGGTTGTCTTTTAGTTTTGTTGACTGTATCCTTTGCTGTGCAAAAGCTTCTTATCTTGATGAAGTCCCAGTAGTTCATTTTTGCTTGTTTCTTTTGCTTTCGTGGATGTATCTTGCAAGAAGTTACTGTGGCCAAGTTCAAAAAGGGTGTTGCCTGTGTTCTCCTCTAGGATTTTGATGGAATCTTTTTTTTTTTAAATTTTTATTTATTTATGATAGTCACAGAGAGAGAGAGAGGCACAGAGACACAGGCAGAGGGAGAAGCAGGCTCCATGCACCGGGAGCCCGACGTGGGACTCGATCCCGGGTCTCCAGGATCGCGCCCTGGGCCAAAGGCAGGCGCCAAACCGCTGCGCCACCCGGGGATCCCCGATTTTGATGGAATCTTGTCTCACATTTAGATCTTTCATCCATTTTGAGTTTATCCTTGTGTATGGTGCAAGAGAGTGGTCTAGCTTCATTCTTCTGCATGTGGATGTCCAATTTTCCCAGCTCCATTTAAAAATGTCAATGTTACCCAGGGCAATTTACACGTTTAATGCAATCCCTATCAAAATACCATGGACTTTCTTCAGAGACTTAGAACAAATTATTTTAAGATTTGTGTGGAATCAGAAAAGACCCCGAATAGCCAGGGGAATTTTAAAAAAGAAAAGCATAGCTGGGGGCATCACAATGCCAGATTTCAGGTTGTACTACAAAGCTGTGGTCATCAAGACAGTGTGGTACTGGCACAAAAACAGACACATAGATCAATGGAACAGAGTAGAGAACCCAGAAGTGGACCCTGAACTTTATGGTCAACTAATATTCGATAAAGGAGGAAAGACTATCCACTGGAAGAAAGACAGTCTCTTCAATAAATGGTGCTGGGAAAATTAGATGACTTTCAAAGTGTATTGATTTGTCAGTGTAACCTCAGCACCTTTTAGCTCTGGTATTAGTTAACAATTATATCCTAGTACTGTCATCTGATAGGCAAATTTCCGGGGTTTTTTATAGATTCTCCTTTTGCCTCACAACCATATTCATTTAGATAGTAAATCTTGTATTTAGTATTTCCTTAACATGTCTGGAATCTGCCCCCTCTTGCCACTATTTTCATTCAAACCTCAGCATCTCTTTCCTGGATTATGGCAGTAGCTCTCTAACTGGTATCCCTATTTTACATTGTATGGCATAGAAATCTTTGATGACTACTGCCTCTCTGTCCTCATCTACCTGCTTCTAATGTGTGAGTAAACTATTCATGGTACCACTCATATACGCTTACTCCACACTGTTTCATGACTTTGCTTGTTATCTTCCCTTTGCTTGGATCAGCTAATTTTATTTTTTAAAAAAATTTTTTTTAATTTTCTTTTTTCAAGACTCAATTTGTGTATCTTTTCCAGGAAACCTTACTTAGAGTATCTGACTTCAGGTTTTTGCATGTAGATATCCAGTAGTCCCAGAACCATTTGTTGAAAAGACTGTTCTTTATTGAATATTCTTGGCACCCTTGTTGAAAATTAAATTGACCATGAATATGTGGATTTTTTTCCTGGACTGTTTATTTTTGCTCTGCTTATGTATACATCCTTATGCCAGTACCACACTGTCTTAATACTATAGCTTTGTAGTATGTTTTAAAATTGGGAAGTATGAGTCTTGCAACTTTGTTCTTTTTCAAGATGGCTTTGGTTTTGGCTATTCTGGGTCCCTGGAAATTTTATATGAATTTTAGGATCAGCTGGTTAATTACTGCAGAGAAACCAGCTGGAATTTTAATAGGACTTGTGTAAAATGTATAGAACAGTTTGGGGTGTTTCTCCTCATTTTGTTATAGTTCAGGGAGGTTTTTCTTCAGGTTTTCAAATTTGATAGTTCTGTATATTCTTGGTTTGACATGACAAATTGTGCCTTTTAGGGCACATAACGTGATAAAGGTATATAGGCTTAACTTTGTGATGCATGTTTGTGGTGAGAAGGGAAGAATTTTCTTATTGATAGTTTACCATTTTTGAAAAACTTTTTCTTCCTTATAGGTTCACACATTCATTATGGAAAGTTTTAGAAAATACAAGAAAGCAAAAAGAAAAATGTTCATAATTCCACCATTCAGAGTTAATATAGTGTGTATGGAAGCTTGTTGTATGTATTTCTTTTTTCATTTAACCATATAACATATAGGGAATGTTTTTTCATCTCACTAAATACTGCAGTGTTTTTTTTTTTAACTTTTTTTAAGTAGACTCTGCTCAACATGGGGCTTGAACTCATGACTCTGAGATCAAGAGTTGCATAGTCTACTGACTGAGCCAGCCAGGCACCCCAGAATTGCAGTGTTTTTTTTAATGCTATGTCACATCTCATTTTGGTATTTAAACCTCTATTAGGCTTATGTTTAGGATAGTTTTTCCAAATTGTGTTGTAGTTAAATCTTTGCCCAGATTCTTGCCTATTTTCTTTTAAAAGATTTTATTTATTAAAAAAAAATAAAAGATTTTATTTATTTATGAGAGACACACACACAGAGAGGCAGAGACATAGGCAGAGGGAGAAGCTGGCTCAATGCAGGGAGCCTGATGTGGGACTCAATCCTGGGACTCTGGGGTCACGTCCTGAGCCGAAGGCAGACACCCAGGCATCCCAGTTCTTGACTATTTTCTAAGCAAATTCCTATAAATGAAATTACTGGTTCAACAGGATGCATAGATGCATATTTTTTAATCTTTTTTTTGCCATTTTTTTGGATACTGTGTTAATATTTGGCAGCAGTTTCTTTCTGCCAATATCTGAAGGTAAGCTCATAAACAAGTATTTGCATTATTTGAAACTACCATTAGATGTTCATAGCAGCATTATTCACAATAGTCAAAAGGTAAAACAAAACAAAAACAACTCAATCCATTTACCAGATGAATGGACAAACAAAATGTGGTATATCCACATGATGGAATGTTTTTTTTTTTTTTATTTATTTATGATAGTCACACACACACACAGAGAGAGAGAGGCAGAGAGAGAGAAGCAGGCTCCATGCACCGGGAGCCCGATGTGGGATTCGATCTTGGGTCTCCAGGATCGCGCCCTGGGCCTAAGGCAGGCGCCAAACCGCTGCGCCACCCAGGGATCCCGATGGAATGTTGTTAAGCCTTAAAAATGAATGAAATTCTGATACATGCTACAACGTGAATGAATTTTAAACATTATGTGAAGTGAAATAAGCCAGACACAAAAGGATTCATACAAAATATTGTATGATTCCACTTATATGAAGTACCTAGAATAAGCAAGCTCATAGGGACAAAAAGAAGAATAGAGATTACCAGAGGCTGGGGAGATGGGGAGTTTAACAGATACAGAATTTCAGTTTGGGATGATGAAAAAATTCTGGAAATTGTGAATGTACTTAGTGCTACTGAATTGTACACTGAAAAATCGTTAAATTTGATATTAAGTATACTACAATAAAAAATATTACTACTGGATCAATTTCAGAATTTTAGATGAAAACCACTTTTTTGGTGGTTTATTTTATGTGTTTATGTGTTTATTTTACTTATTGTGGATTATCTACCTTGTAGCTAGGTGAACTCGGAGTTTGGATACTTGTTTTAAATATGATAGACTGGGATCCCTGGGTGGCTCAGCAGTTTGGCGCCTGCCTTCGGCTCAGGGCATGATCCTGGAGACCCAGGGTCGAGTCCCACATCAGGCCCCCTGCATGGAGCCTGCTTCTCCCTCTGCCTCTCTCTCTTTCTCTGTGTCTCTCATGAATAAATAAATAAAATCTTTAAAAAAATAAACATGATAGACTGATAGCTGGTGCTGAGAACTAAGTTCCTAACCAACATTTATGCAATATGAAGATTTACTGAGCTATGTATGCCAAGTAGTCTGCTGGGCACTGAGGACTACAGTGGTAAACAAGATAAGACGCAGTCCCTGGAGTCTCCTGGTTGCTAAGGTTGGACAGAATAAGAACAAACTTCTTATTAAGAAAAAAAAGGATTAAACAATCAGGTGACTTGTTTTCTCCTTAATGATTTCCTTTGTGGGGTGATTTTAAAATATCCTTTTCCCCCTTTCAGGTTGCTATGGAAACATAAGACTACATAAACGGAAGTCCGTTCTGATAATTCTGATACCTGAGATGTAACTGGACTAAAGAGTGGAACAGGAAAAATTGTAGTACCAACCTCAATTACAATGGCTACTGATTCAGGAGAGCCAGCTAGTACAGAAGATTCTGAGAAACCTGATGGAGTTTCACTGGAAGACAGAGCTCCTCGGGTTGTAGCAACTTTAACGGTGGAAGCCAGACTGAAGGAAAAAAGTAGTGCTTTCTTTGCTTCTGGGGAAACTACAGAAAGGAAAAGATTCTTCCGAAAGAGTGTTGAGACGATGGAAGATGATAAAGTTGCTGAATCTTCCTCCAAAGGTGAGAGAATGAAGACCGCAATAAATATGCCAAGAGTGGAAAAGCTTCCGACAAATGTGCTAGCAGGTGGACAAGAAGTCAGATATGGACAGTGTTCAAAGGCAACCTCAGAGTCCTCAAAAGATGGTTTCAAGGAGAAAAATGAAAAGGAAATAGAAGAAGAAGCAGAAATGAAGGCTGTAGCTACTTCTCCTAGTGGCAGGTTCCTGAAATTCGACATAGAGCTGGGAAGAGGAGCATTTAAAACAGTATATAAAGGATTGGACACCGAAACCTGGGTTGAAGTTGCTTGGTGTGAGCTGCAGGTGGGTATATAGTCTCCTTGGTTTTAATAAATTTCAGTTTTAACAGGCTGGCCTTCTGAATGTTCCAGGATTAATATATATCATGGATTAAAATAAAATTAAAGGCTTGTCCCCCACCTTACTGAAATTATGCTCTTTTCCTAGATATTCTTAGAGCCCATGGCAGCCTTTTTTTTCCTCCTGTTGTTTTCCCTTCTGTTTTAAAGGGGGAAACGTCTATGAGTGTTTTCTTTGGGAAAATAACGCTAATTTATTAACCTTGGTACGTCTCCAAAACTCTTGAGGTCTCACTTTGAAAACTTTTAGTAAATGTATGCTTTTAGTTAGTTGATTGTTGTACTAAGTATTTGGGAACATGATATGTCAGGGATATATTTAGTGTGATACATCCCTTTTCTCTTTTTCTTTCAACAGTTTTTTTTGAGGTTTACATGGTGTTTTTCAGAACCGAAAATGTTAAGCTTGATTCTTGGAGGACTTCTATTAATATAAACTTGTCTGTGCTTTAAATTTACCTCAAAGAGGATCTCTGGAAGAAATAATCACCAGAACCTGCTGAGTGAGGTAGTCAACTGGAATGTGTTTAGAAAGGAGAAATGAAAACAACAGAATAGTTGAATTACCTAGATATTTGGTTCCATAATATTTATGTGGTACTTTTAACTAATGAAGGACTAAATGGAAACAGAACATCATAGAAGGGGCTATAAGAAGAATTGTTTTAGGCAGATGTAGTTCAAATATAAAGAAAACCTTTGTGACCTCAGTGAGCCCATGGGAAATGTCAGTGTTCACATGAGATGCTTAAAATTAAGATTGAACAGAGAAAGTCACCAAGTACAGGTTTTTGTTATTCACATTCCAGTGGTCTCTGTTCATGCTGATGTATTTGTAGGTGCTGTGATTTCACACATTCTGAATTTGCTGTAGGTTGCCATTATTTTTTTTTAAGATTTTATTTATTCATGGGAGACACAGGGAGAGGCAGAGAAATAGAGGGAGAAGCAGGCTTCTCACAGGGAGCCCAATTTAGGACTCAATCCTGCCCTGAGCTGAAGGCAGACTCCCACCGCTAAGCCACCCAGGCATCCCTGCTCATTGCTATTTAGATAGGTTGAAATTTAGTCCAGGTTCCTGCATTTCTAGGGAGCTTTTTGTTTAACAACATGGTTTTGAAACTTCACTGTTTATAAGTTAGTGTTGGTTTCATTTGCAAATTCCAGAGCCTATTGTCAAAGGTTCAGATTCTGTAAGTCTGGGATGGGAGGCAAGACTGCAATTTTAACAAGCTTTTTAAGTGCTTTGAATGTAGAAAGTCCCTTAGCTCTCTGGAATGCAAGTTAACTAGCAGTCAAACCATTCTAGTAGTTCTTTTTCTTTTTAATAAATTAATTTTTATTGGTGTTCAGTTTACCAACATACAGAATAACACCCAGTGCTCATCCCGACAAGTGTCCCCCTCAGTGCCCGGCACCCATTCACCCCCACCCCCCGCCCTCCTCCCCCTCCACCACCCCTAGTTCATTTCCCAGAGTTAGGAGTCTTTATGTTCTGTCTCCCTTTCTGATATTTCCCACACATTTCCTCTCCCTTCCCTTATATTCCCTTTCACTATTATTCATATTCCCCAAATGAATGAGAACATACACTGTTTGTCCTTCTCCGATTGACTTACTTCACTCAGCATAATACCCTCCAGTTCCATCCACGTTGAAGCAAATGGTGGGTATTTGTCCTTTCTAATGGCTGAGTAATATTCCATTGTATACATAAACCACATCTTCTTTATCCATTCATCTTTCGATGGGCACCGAGGCTCCTTCCATAGTTTGGCTATTGTGGACATGTCTGCTAGAAACATCGGGGTGCAGGTGTCCCGGCGTTTCATTGCATCTGAATCTTTGGGGTAAATCCCTAACAGTGCAATTGCTGGGTCGTAGGGCAGGTCTATTTTTAATTCTTTGAGGAACCTCCACACAGTTTTCCAGAGTGGCTGCACCAGTTCACATTCCCACCAACAGTGTAAGAGGGTTCCCTTTTCTCCGCATCCTCTCCAACATTTGTTGTTTCCTGCCTTGTTAATTTTCCCCATTCTCACTGGTGTGAGGTGGTATCTCATTGTGGTTTTGATTTGTATTTCCCTGATGGCAAGTGATGCAGAGCATTTTCTCATGTGCGTGTTGGCCATGTCTATGTCTTCCTCTGTGAGATTTCTCTTCATGTCTCTTGCCCATTTCATGATTGGATTGTTTGTTTCTTTGGTGTTGAGTTTAATAAGTTCTTTATAGATTTTGGAAACTAGCCCTTTATCTGATATGTTATTTGCAAATATCTTCTCCCATTCTGTAGGTTGTCTTTTAGTTTTGTTGACTGTATCCTTTGGTGTGCAAAAGCTTCTTATCTTGATGAAGTCCCAATAGTTCATTTTTGCTTTTGTTTCTTTTGCTTTCGTGGATGTATCTTGCAAGAAGTTACTGTGGCCAAGTTCAAAAAGGGTGTTGCCTGTGTTCTCCTCTAGGATTTTGATGGAATCTTGTCTCACGTTTAGATCTTTCATCCATTTTGAGTTTATCTTTGTGTATGGTGCAAGAGAGTGGTCTAGTTTCATTCTTCTGCATGTGGATGTCCAATTTTCCCAGCACCATTTATTGAAGAGACTGTCTTTCTTCCAGTGGATCGTCTTTCCTCCTTTGTCGAATATTAGTTGACCATAAAGTTCAGGGTCCACTTCTGGGTTCTCTATTCTGTTCCATTGATCTATGTGTCTGTTTTTGTGCCAGTACCACACTGTCTTGATGACCACAGCTTTGTAGTACAACCTGAAATCTGGCATTGTGATGCCCCCAGATATGGTTTTCTTTTTTAAAATTCCCCTGGCCATTCGGGGTCTTTTCTGATTCCACACAAATCTTAAAATAATTTGTTCTAAGTCTCTGAAGAAAGTCCATGGTATTTTGATAGGGATTGCATTGAACGTGTAAATTGCCCTGGGTAACATTGACATTTTCACAATATTAATTCTGCCAATCCATGAGCATGGAATATTTTTCCATCTCTTTGTGTCTTCCTCAATTTCTTTCACAAGTGTTCTATAGTTTTTAGGGTATAGATCCTTTACGTCTTTGGTTAGGTTTATTCCTAGGTATCTTATGCTTTTGGGTGCAATTGTAAATGGGATTGACTCCTTAATTTCTCTTTCTTCAGTCTCATTGTTAGTGTATAGGAATGCCATTGATTTCTGGGCATTGATTTTGTATCCTGCCACGCTACCAAATTGCTGTATGAGTTCTAGTAATCTTGGGGTGGAGGCTTTTGGGTTTTCTATGTAGAGGATCATGTCATCGGCGAAGAGGGAGAGTTTGACTTCTTCTTTGCCAATTTGAATGCCTTTAATGTCTTTTTGTTGTCTGATTGCTGAGGCTAGGACTTCCAGTACTATGTTGAATAGCAGTGGTGAGAGTGGACATCCCTGTCTTGTTCCTGATCTTAGGGGAAAGGCTCCCAGTGCTTCCCCATTGAGAATGATATTTGCTGTGGGCTTTTCGTAGATGGCTTTTAAGATGTCGAGGAAAGTTCCCTCTATCCCTACACTCTGAAGAGTTTTGATCAGGAATGGATGCTGTATTTTGTCAAATGCTTTCTCTGCATCTAATGAGAGGATCATATGGTTCTTGGTTTTTCTCTTGCTGATATGATGAATCACATTGATTGTTTTACGAGTGTTGAAGCAGCCTTGTGTCCCGGGGATAAATCCTACTTGGTCATGGTGAATAATTTTCTTAATGTGTTGTTGGATCCTATTTTTTGCATCCATGTTCATCAGGGATATTGGTCTGTAATTCTCCTTTTTGGTGGGGTCTTTGTCTGGTTTTGGAATTAAGGTGATGCTGGCCTCATAGAATGAATTTGGAAGTACTCCATCTCTTTCTATCTTTCCAAACAGCTTTAGTAGAATAGGTATGATTTCTTCTTTAAACGTTTGATAGAATTCCCCTGGGAAGCCATCTGGCCCTGGACTCTTGTGTCTTGGGAGGTTTTTGATGACTTCTTCAATTTCCTCCCTGGTTATTGGCCTGTTCAGGTTTTCTATTTCTTCCTGCTCCAGTTTTGGTAGTTTGTGGCTTTCCAGGCATTCTAGTAGTTCTTGAAAGATGTGTGCATCTGTGGATTTGCTTGGTTTTCTTCTCCCTTCCTTGTTCCCCTTTCAGAATTTTATAAGGTCTGTGTCAGTAGAAATATTAGGTCATGTGAACAAATAAACATCAAAATCACCTGAAATTCCACTTTTCTGAGGATACTTTTAAACATTTTAGTTTATATCTTTCTGGGCTCTCTCTTTTTTAAAAATTTTATTTATTCATGAGACAGAGAGATTGAGGCAGGCAGAGGGAGAAGCAGGCTCCATGCAGGGAGCCCAGTGCGGGACTCTATCCCGGGGACTCCAGGATCACGGCCAGGGCCAAAGGCAGGCGCTAAACCGCTAAGCCACCCAGGGATCCCCTGAACCCTTTTATTTTTCTTCAAAAATGTATATATGACTATTTTTTCCCCACAAAGTGGGATTGTTACTATAAGGTTTTACAAAACCTTTTCTTTTTACTTATCATGAACATTTTTCAGTACCAGTAATTGTGAATTTACATTATTATTTTTAATAGACACCCTTATAAGTTATTTAATCAGTCCTCTATTGTTGGACATCCTGAATTTTCTCCAGTATTTCACTATTATAAACATGGTTGTGATCAACATCCTTGCAGATATAGTGAAAATTATGTACATTTTAATTTCATCTCTGCATTGTGATATTGGTAATGCTCATTTTTTAGTGATGCTCTGTAAATTGGGGAAATAATTTCCATTCACTTGGTAGTAGGATACATAGTAAAAATATGTCAAGTATTTTGCAAATTGTATAGCCATGCTAAAGGATGCTTAGGTAAAACTTAAAATATTCTAGTGGTAGAGACCGCTTAGGGGAGTGACTTCTATCATTCACC